ACCGTGGCGGTCAGGGGGGAAGAATGCCACCGTGGCGGTCAGGGGGGAAGAATGCCACCGTGGCGGTCAGGGGGGAAGAATGCCACCGTGGCGGTCAGGGAGGAAGAATGCCACCGTGGCGGTCAGGGTGGAAGAATGCCACCGTGGCGGTCAGGGGGGAAGAATGCCACCGTGGCGGTCAGGGGGGAAGAATGCCACCGTAACCGTGGTGGTCAGTGTGAAGAATACCATACCAACAGTGGGGATTGGTGGAACGATTGCCACCCTGATAGTAGTGGTCATTGGAAAGGATGCCACTCTTAGAAGCAGTTAAAAAGCATTAGTGTTATGTGAGTGGCTCTTCCAAGTGATGTTGGTGCTCAAAACTATGTAGGCATCATCAGATGGGAGGTCAATAGACCACGGCCCAATGTATCCCTAGCAACCTCTGGAAGAACCCTGGTTGAAAATGCACTAAATAGTGGGGACACCCTCTCGCTATAAAGTCTCTATTGGCTGAACACATGCAGTATAATGTAGTACGCCATCTGGCTGGAGCGGAGCTGCTATTTGCCCACCGCTGCTATACACTGTGCTCTGGTGTGCGTCTCCCGGGCAGCTACTGAGGAGGCCAGGAATGTTTCTGATCTGATCAGAGGAAACGAGATCAGCAACATTGCTGCACAGCTCTTCATCTCAAATCGTTCCAACAATGTGCAACTGTGAAAACAAGCTGAATGCACGAAAAAAGGCGGCTTTCCTCTACAAAAACGCTCGTTTCTGGGCTAACCGAAGAAACCAGGATATTGTTTTACAAAGGAGAAGATGCTGAAATCACTGAATGCCGCCAGTTTTACCTCTTTTCCTTGCAACCGAGAATAACTATACGACTCCGCTCTTCCCCTACAGTGACTGGAAGCATTAGAAACCATTCTTATAAAAGAAGGTACTTATACATACTCAAATCCAGTACAAAACCCAAAACCATCTGTACATCTAGAACTGCGCATGTATAGCACATATATAGCTTTAATTTTACAGAGCCAGTATCACCAACTTGCCGTTTCAGTCTCTATAGCCTTCATCAGAGCAGGAAATGGCTTTACTAGCTCCATGGCAAAGGTCTTGTGAGTCCAGGGCAACAGTATAACCATTTAAGCCCGGGGTGCCCACATTGTTCGCTGGCTCTCTCTCTCTCTCCTGGCTGCCTCTCCTCATTTTCTCTCCTGGCTGCCTCTCCTCATTTTCTCTCCTGGCTGCCTCTCCTCATTTTCTCTCCTGGCTGCCTCTCCTCATTTTCTCTCCTGGCTGCCTCTCCTCATTTTCTCTCCTGGCTGCCTCTCCTCATTTTCTCTCCTGGCTGCCTCTCCTCATTTTCTCTCCTGGCTGCCTCTCCTCATTTTCTCTCCTGGCTGCCTCTCCTCATTTTCTCTCCTGGCTGCCTCTCCTCATTTTCTCTCCTGGCTGCCTCTCCTCATTTTCTCTCCTGGCTGCCTCTCCTCATTTTCTCTCCTGGCTGCCTCTCCTCATTTTCTCTCCTGGCTGCCTCTCCTCATTTTCTCTCCTGGCTGCCTCTCCTCATTTTCTCTCCTGGCTGCCTCTCCTCATTTTCTCTCCTGGCTGCCTCTCCTCATTTTCTCTCCTGGCTGCCTCTCCTCATTTTCTCTCCTGGCTGCCTCTCCTCATTTTCTCTCCTGGCTGCCTCTCCTCATTTTCTCTCCTGGCTGCCTCTCCTCATTTTCTCTCCTGGCTGCCTCTCCTCATTTTCTCTCCTGGCTGTCTCTCCTCATTTTCTCCCCTGGCTGTCTCTCCTCGCTCTCCCCTGGCTGTCATTCCTCATTTTCTCTCCTGGCTGTCTCTCTTCGCTCTCTCACCTGGCTCTCTCCCCGCTCTCTCTCTCCTGGCTGTCTCTCTTCGCTCTCTCCCCGGCTGTCTCTCCCGCTCTCTCTCCTGGCTCCCCTTGCTGTACTTTGCTGTGTAAACTAATATTCTTTGATGTAATACATAGCAGCACTTCAACCACCAGAAAGGTGTCGGGGAGCTCGGCTCAGCAGACTCGGGCTGATAGGTAATCATGTGTGCACAGCTAAATAAATATACCAACATGGAATAAAGGGGCCGCCATTCCCCCCCTTCCTGATCTACCAGCATCAGCTCTGAGAGCTACTGCTAGATCACCATCTAC